TGTGGGTGAAATGACTTGGTTTTCATGGGTTTCTCCAACAAAACTTTGCCAGTCTGTGATCATTTGATCAGTGTACCATCTGACTCTCTCTCAGTCTTGATGATAGAAGGAGAAGGCAACATATTAGCACTCCAAAATGAATGATCTTTGAGGTAGGAACAAAAATGACAAACAGAAAGTTGAAAAAGTATAAGCTGGCTTTGGTAAGTTGGAGTCACCAGACCCTAGGTAAAATATGATTGCTGTGTGACTGTCAGCAATGTTTAAAATACTGTGAATTATCAGATGAGGCAGAAAACCAGGAGGATTCTGGGTAAAGATGGCCACCACTGGGATGGAAGAAGTCCAGTGCAGAATCCAAGCTGAAAGAATTCTTTCTGTGGATGTGGTCCTCTAGAAGTCCCTATTTTCAGATGACAGTGTGCTGGTTGCAATGAAATTCTGGAACATTGTAAAATCTCCTGTAAGAGATCTGTAACTACGCAAAAATATTTGTTTTGGCCAGCCATACAAGAAGAGCCAAATGGATGAAGAATATTTGTTACCTAGATTATGACATACATTTGGACAGAGAACCTACAGTGCTTGTTAATCAGTAGATAGAGGTGGACACTGGATTGGTCTTGGAGTTGAACAGAGGAGGAGAAAAGGCTCAGTTATCTTTAAGAAATTACAAAGTTCCTTCAATGACCCCAAACTAACCTTAGGAAAAAAAATGTCTTCTTTTATTACCAGCATTCAACTGGAATTGCTTTATAGAAATGAGGTATGAAATGCAACAGTCTCTAGAGAATTAAAAAAGGAATGTTGTAGAGGGGACAATGGAAAGGCCCAAGGTGGGTGTGATCAAGTTGATGTTTATTACCAATGAGAAACTTCAATGAAGACTAGTAAACAGGTCGACAAGAAAATTCATGGTAAAAAGATAATTTGGGCAAGGGAGAGGAATAAACGGATGGATTACATAAAGTGCTCTTCTGGTACCTTTGCGATTTCAGAAGAAATTAAGTAAGGCCACAAACACATTGGGGTGAATCTGCTACAGAGAATTTATTGGAAGATATGGGCAGGCATGGATGGCTTTTGAACTGCATCATTGGAAATCCACTTGAGTATTGAATAGGACTATTCCCAAAGAACAGTTATCAATGGCAATTGGGTGGGAGGTCTCTACTGGAGTGTCCCAGGGATCTGCCCTGACCCTGTGTTTTTAAATATTTTTATTAACGACTTGTTATTTTCTTAGACAGTATGCCTCCCAAATTTACTGATGCTGTGAGTCATGGGGGAACAGCTAACAAATTGGAAAATAGAATTAGGTTTCAAGATGATCTTATCAGCTTATAACTTTAGGTTGAATCTGATAGATAAAATTTAAATGCAAAGCTTAAGTTAATGATCTGAACTGAATTTGTCGCTTAAGACTTTGCAAATACAAGGTAGGAAAGGCATGACTAAAATGTTTCACATGGAAAAAATCTGGGGGTGTTAGTGGACTCCAAGCCCTGCATGAGTCTACAGTGGGCACAACAGCTGAAAAAGCTAGTACCCTCATAGATGGAATTAGGAAAGGCCTAATCCAGATCTTGGGATATGATAAGCTTGTGGTACTCTGCCCTGGTCTGATCATATCCAAAGTACTATGTTTAGTTCTGGGAACTGCGTTCTAGGAATTTCTGGCTGAAATGTGTACAGAAAAGGGTGAACAGAATAGGGAGGAGACTAGAGGCTACACCATATGAGGGTCAGTTGAAGAAAGTATGAACTTGGAGAAGAGAAAACTTAGGTAAGACGTACTAGTTACTTCAAATAATTGAAGAATAACCATGTGGGAGAAGGCATAGCCATGATTTATTTGGCCCAGAGGGTAGAGCTAGGAGTAAGGGGTAGAAACTGCAGAGAAGCAGGTTTTGCTTTGAGGGTAAGGGAAAAGAACATAAGAACATAAGAACATTCTTAATAGCTACCCAAATGTGGCATGATCTCACTTGCAATGTATGGGTTCTACCTTTGTAGAGACATTCAAGTTAAACCACTTGTCAGGGATATTGTAGAAGTGACCCACATTTAGGTACATGTTATAATTCAGATCTGGCCTCTATATTTGAGAAAGCAAATTACTGATGGCCTTCATTATAAGTAATGAACAAATATTTACTAAGTCCCTACCATGTGCCACAATAGCTAACATTTTATGTAGCACTTTAAAGTTTGCACTGTCCTTTGCACATCAAGTTAATTTGACAAGTGTTTATTAAGCTCCTACTATGTGGCAGCCCCTGCTGTGAAGGAGCTCACAGCCTATATATGTTATCTCATTTGATCCTCACAAAACCCTGTGATTTAGGCGCTATGATTATCCTCATTTTGAAGAGGGGAAAAACAAGACTCATACTCAGAGTCACACAGATAGTAAATCTTGAGGTAAGATTTGAACTCATGTCTGACAACTTTTGATCTACTGTGTCTTTGAGATTTCTTCCAACTCCTGAGATCGTGTGATTCTGAGACCATGGATTACTGTGTCATCATAGTCTCCATCTTAGAGACAGAGACCTAGGTGGCACGGTAGATAATGTTCCAACTTGGAGTTCAGAAGACCTGTGTTTTAATCCTACCTCAAATACTTACTGGCTGTGGAATGTTGGGCATCACCTCATTTCCTTGTGCCTCAGTTTCCCCCTCTAGAATGAGGGGGTTGGACTGCATGGCCTCTAAGATCTATTATTATTCTATATATAGGGTCTCTCCTGATGAGGGAGCAGGTACCATGTGTAATCACAGTACAAGGTATGCCTAGAGAACCGATAAGGGCCCACCACAATGCACCTGCTATCTGCAGGAGTATGCACTGGTAGAGCCCACACAATGGCTGTGAGAGCAGGTAATGATGGTTCAACCACGTGGCAGCAGCTGTACTCTTCCCAAAGGCAATAACATTCTTCATATGACCCAAACACTGACTTCTCCCTCCTCCTGAAAGTCCCCAGGTAAATGCTATCTCTGTACCTAGAAAGAACCATAGAATACTTTGGGAAGTAGGTTTACTTACTCTTTCCTGCTCTGGCTTCACTGGATTCCCATAGCCCCTGTGTCTCGGGAGCATCCCAGGAGAGTTTCCCTGGCACTACACCAAGTAACACTACCTGGGCCTTCTATAGTCCTTTCTTCATCCTATACTGAAAACCAGAATGCCTACTGAACTAAGCTTTGCTAAGCCAATATTATCAATATTTCTAAGACAGCAGGGGCTCAGACTAGCTATTTAAGGAAACAGACTGTGCAGAAGCACATATTTACAAACAACTGGTTGGATAATTTTATGCCATTATTAACTAAAGCAGGTCCCCTCAATGCCTCTACTAGGCAACACAATTAACTATGATTCAATCAACAAATATTTATTAACAACGCACTACATACTGGGCAGTCAATTAGGGGCCTTAAATGCAGGGACTTAACACAGCACACTAAACAGTCAAAGAACTAATGAATGAGAAAGTATTCATCGGATACTTACAATGCACCAAGTGCTGTGCTTGGGATACAAACAGAAAAGCAAAGTGGAAAGTGACATGTATGCATATAAGTATTTCACAAAATGTGGTATGATAGAAGCCAAGGAGATATCCACAGTGCCCTGAGACCATTTGAGGAGGGAGAACTTACTTTTATCTGGGAGAGGGGAGATCAGAGAAGGCTTCATGGAGGAGATGACACCTACTAGAACTCAATCTAAGAGAAGGGTTTTGAAAGGTAGAGATGAGGCAAAGTATGACCTAGGGATAGGAGGGGAAGGGCAGCTTGTAAGAAGGAGAATGCTAGACAAGATGGAGGAATGTTGAGTAATCCATTCTGTCTAGAATGGAAAACTTGCAGTAATTCATTCCTGCAAACATTTATTAAGTGCCTACTATATACAAAGCATTGTACCATGGACTGGGGATACATAGATATATATCAAATCCCCAGCCTTAAAGAGTTTACATTCTACTAATGATGAGGATGGGGGATGGGGAACATTATGTACACACATTAATAAAATATAAGGTATATTGTGAATTGAGTATCACAAAAGGAGGCTGAAGGTGGGTTAGAACCAGATTGTGGAGGAGCCTAAAGGCCAAATTGAGGAGTTGGCTTCTTATTCTAGAGGCTATAGGGATCCATTGAGGGCTGTTGAGTAAAGAAGGAGGGACATAATTTTGGCAGCTATATTCAGGATGGATTGCTAAAGGGAAAGACATGAACCCATAATCCTAGAACGGAAGCTATTATAATAGTCCCGCCAAAAGAGAATATAGTACAGTAAATTTTTGTGAACTTTCTACTATGTGCAACAGATTAATGAAAAAAATAATTTGAGTATGTACTTTAAAGGGTCAGAACTGCTTTTTAAAATATGTTTATATATTTAATATGTGCCTCTGACATATTTATGTATAGAAAATGTAACATACATTATGTATTGTATACATATATATTATATAAGCAGATGTGACTTCATTAATGTAGGAACCTCCTCTACTGATACAGGGTGCAATCTATTTATTGATTATCTTAGCTACCTGTGGATCACAGAAGGTGGATAAATTTCCCATAGTCACACAGTTACTTGTGTCCAATGCAGGATTCAAAATCAGGTTTTCCTGTTCCAAGTTTGAAACTCTATGTGCCATGTTGCATTATTTCAATGTAGGTACATAATTCAGACTTTTTACTAAATCAGATTGTCACCTTTTCTCAAAATTACTGAGGTTTTCCTTGAGTAAGACAATTTACTTCTCAGATTTGGAATCAGGTGACAAATGGTTAAAAATATTGTGAAGGGAAGACAAAGTAGGTAAGGGTTTTCAAGGCATGATGCCCTATTAGATTTAATGGTAACCTGAAGTCTTGAGTTTCTTGTGTGGGATTTGAATTGAATTTCCTCTGGGTTTTAATACCCAGATCCTCAGCAAATGGACAGACACAGAAAGCTTTTCCAAAGACATCCTTACCCTGGCTATTTGGTCTGCCATTTGGAGGCGTCCATCCAGCTCCCGTCGGATTTGTGCGGCTTGCTCATCGGGGTTGTCCAACTGAAAAAAAAATACAAAAAACATAGATCATGAACATGAGGCAGTCAAGGACCATGAACTCATCTCACCATGAAATCATGCTTGCTACTTTTACAATGGAAATTATGAAATTTATCATTCCCCACCAAGTACCACAAATCTCTTAATGAGCATGCTCAATTTGTTGGAAGAAAATGCCCACCTAAGCACTAAGAGGCACAGCCTAATGGGTTGGGAAATCTCCAAGGAAGAGCAGATTTATGACCTTGTCCTTCAATCAATCAACAACATTTATTAAGTATCTACAATTTCCCAGGTGCTGGGAATATGAAGACAAAACTGAAAGTCTTTGCCCTCAAGGAGCTTACATTCTAACAGGATTGATCTAAAGTTAGCTCCATTGAGAGGTCTCTTACTACTTCTGTGACTTAGGTAGAGAAAGAAATTACATATTTTGAATGGACAAAGAGGGGGATAGTTCATGGGATGAAATGAACCATGTGAGTCAAAATTCTTCCCTCCTCATTTCCCAAAGCAAGCCTAATATTATTTTTCAAACTCTAATTATAAGACAGCCCTTCAGTAATTTGGAGCATCATTGCAGCTCATTCACAAAAAAGGAAGCATGATAAATAGAATATTGGGGCATTCAAACATGTCAAGTTCTCTTTTATCTAATAAAAATCAACTTACAATAAAAATAGACTTGAAGGTGAATATGAGGTGGCACTTAAGGGCTCCTTTCTTTTTATGACTCTCTCTAGTACAGAACAGAAAAACGACCTAAACTCCCTTCATTTTCTCCCCTCATGTTTTTTATATGCAAGAGCCAAACCTACCCTAAGGAATAGTTCCAAAACTTAGAAATAACATTTCTGAAATAAGCAATGGTAAACACTGGAGGGGTTAATGGTGATACAATTTTGTGAAAGCCACTTTGGAAAGACATTATGATGAGATGGCTATTTCAGGCTTTAGGAAACACACACACACACACACACACACACACACACACACACACTGCATTATCCTTTTAACTGGTCTTCCTTTCTCAAGCCTCTCTTCATTTCAATCCATCTTCCCCTTAGCTGCCAGTGATTGCAGTGATGGTCTGACCAAATCGACTCCCTCTTAGCACGACACCTTGGATGTAGTAAGCAATTAATTGTTTGTTGTTGTTTTCCATCCTTCATTCTCAAAGAGGACCAGTGACATCATGGGGGTGATATCTTGACTTGCAAGTGAATTGGATTTCAGTGAGTCAGTGCTGTGCAAAGTTATCAGCCTCACTCTCCTCCAGAGTCATGGAAGTCCAGTGGCAAGACATAGGTCAAGATGACTGGTGATGGCCCAGAGTAAGCAATGAATAAATCCCTGTTGATTAAATGGTGACTCCTCAATAAACTCTAGTGGCTCCCTGTTATCTCCAGGATCAATTAAATAGTCTTCATTTTGCCATTTAGAGCCCTTCACAACCTAGCCTTTCCTACCTTTTCAGATTTCTTAGACTTCACTTCCTTTTACTCATTCTGAGGGCAGCTAGGTGGCACAGTAGATAGAGCCCTGGGCTCTCTTGGGTTCTTCCTCTTGAGTTCAAATATGGCCTCAGAAACTTACTAGCCCTGGGCAAATCACTTGACCCTGTTTGCCTCAGTTTCCTCGTTGGTAACATGAGCTAGAGAATGGGGTAACGAAGAGTTGGACATGACTGAACAATTCATTCTGATCCAGCAGCAGTGGCCTATTGGTACCTCATAATGATGCTGTCTTTGCACTGTGTGTTCCTCCACATCTGAAATCCTCTCCCTCCTCACCTCTGACTCTTTATTTCCCCATTTTCCTTCAAGTCTGAGCTAAAGTCTCATCTTCCAAGGAAGCCTTTCCTGTTCCCCTTAACGCTAGTGCCTTTCCCCAGTTGATTACCTCCAGTTTACACAAAGCTGTTTGCATACTATCTCCCTCATGAAACCAGGAGCTCCTTGGGAGCAGGGACTGATTTTTTGCCTTTCCTTGTATCCCCAGAGCTTAACACAGTGCCTGAAACATAGCAAGTGCTTAAGAAACACTTATTTATTGACACATTCTCTCTGTCTCTTTTTCTTTTTCTCTGTCTCTGTCTCTCTTTGTCTTTCCGTCTCTGTTTTTTTCTCTGCCTCTGCCTGTCTCTGTTTCTCTCTCTGTCCCTCTGTTGCTCTCTGTCTCTCTCCCCTTCCTGTTTTCTCTCTCCTTTTCTCTCTTTCTTTCTGTCATTCTGTCTGTCTCTGTCTCTGTCTGTCTGTCTCTCTCACACACAAAGTTTTGTTCTTCTGTGCTTGTCTTTTAAATACAAATCTGCCCAGGAATACTCTTGCCTCCTCTTCAACAGCTCTGTGATCGATGACAGATGAGAACAGCTAGACAAAATGCTTCAGGTTCACAAAGTGACGTCTCTACATCAACTCATTTGAGCCTCACAACAACCCTGTGAGGTAGATGCTGAAATACTATCTTGTACATTTTACAAAATAGGAAAATGAGACTCAGAGCAGCTTGCTCAAGGTCACACAACTAGAAAGTCAGTAGTTTGGAACTGAGCTCTCTCGGGCTTCCTCAGCATTCTCTTTAATACAACAATTATTTATCAGATGTCATGATTTTAAAAAGGAAGTGTAGTGTAGTGGTATCAAACTCAAATAGAAATGGATCTAGGTTGGCTACATGGTGAATTAGAAAATCACAAATTGACATTATCTATATTGTGTTGTATTTTTACTTATTTTGTTAAACATTTCCCAATTCCATTTAATCCAGGGCACTTAAAAGTGTTGGGGCTGAGAACAACTGTTTGACATCTTTGACGTAGTGGATAAGAGAACTGGCAGAGTGTGCTGGTAAAGGTTTAACAACTAGCAGTCTGAAAATTCACCACATACTTTTAAATTTAATTGGTATTGTTAACATGTTCTCAATCACTGTCTACACAGTCAACAAAACAATAAATCAAGCCCTTATTTGCAACATTTGTGATTTCTGAGGTGTAAATGCTCACACAGTAGCTAAGGGCTGCTAGGTAGCACAGTGGATAGAGTGCCAGCCCTGAAGTTAGGAAGACTCCTCTTCCTAAGCTCAAATCTGGCTTCAGACACTTACTACTTGTGAGACCCTGGGTAAGTCATTTAACCCTATTTGTCTTAGTTCCTCATCTGTAAAATGAGCTGAAGAAGGAAATGGCAAACCACTTCAGCATCTTTGCCAAGAGAACCCCAAATGGGGTCACAAAGTATCAGACACAATTAAAATGACTAAACAACAACAAATACTTACGCTATACATTTAATGATCAGCTAGCCAGCTAGCACATGTTTGATTCAGCACAGCACTGCAGTCAGCCATAACTTTAGGAAGATTTAAATTCAAGTTCCATCTCTGCCAAATACTGGCCATATGACCCTGGGTTAGTCCCTTAACATCTGAGTGACCCAGCAGCCCTAAAGCATTAAGGAGAAGAGAAGGGGTTGGTCTGCACTGGTAGAAGGAGTTTTCTCCTTAGGAGTTCAGAAAGTAACAGATCCAGTAAGAAGAAAATGGATCTAGGGGCAGCTAGGTGGCGCAGAGGATAGAGTACCGGCCCTGAAGTCAGGAGGACCTGAGTTCAAATCCGGCCTCAGACCAAACACTTAACACTTACTAGCTGTGTGACCCTGAGCAAGTCACTTAACCCCAATTGCCTCCCAAAAAAGAAGAAAATGGATCTGGATGTTGGACTGGAAGGGACCTTAGAGGTACAGTTCATCTACCTCATTAGTGAGAAAAATGAGGCCCTGAGATGGTAAATGATTTGTCCAAGATCACACAGAGAGCTGGCCCTTAGACTCCAAATCTAGTGATCTTCCCACCATGCTGTTCTGCCTTGTATAACTCAAAGGATCATAGATTTAGAGGCAGAAGGAACCTTAGAAGTGGTCAAGTAGAAGGCCTATCACAACCTTTGACAATATATTTTAAATAAATCTAAAAAGTGAGATGCCTCCTAATAAATCCCATCATTGTCAACAAGAACGAAGGGTGCCCTGTTGATCTCCAGTCCCCAAATGGGAAAAAACTGGCTCAGCAGAACTGCGTGTCAGTTCCGCTCGATCACTAGTATCTTGTTATCCTGGAATTCCAGAGAATTCAGGTGCAAATCCACTTTAAATATTTAGATTCTCTTGGACTAAAATACATATGCAAATGAAACATCTGGGGACTTCATGGAGGCATAGCTAAATAATTTCTTAGGATCCAAAGTGAGGAATTTGTTTGAAGAGTTTGTAGAAATTCAGGGAAAAGCTATCCATGTCAAGACTAAGTGGACACTGCAAAGGGAAAATGAGAAGACTCTTCCAAATAAATTCGTCCTCCAGGAAATTCCTCAGAGCATTGACTTCTTAGGGTGCAGCAGAATGCTCCCAAGCTGTGTAGACAGCGTATCGGTCCAAAGATATACAGCTGCCATGTTGCGATAAATTCAAGAACACACAATGGTTTTCTTCCTAAATTGCCTGATTTCTTTCTGTCTTCACCAATAAACCCCTGAATAGCCGAATTCATTGTTCTTCACTTTACCCTATGTATCCACAATTTGGTAATTATTCAAATAAAGATAAAAGTAACCACTAACTATGTGCCAGGAAGTATACTAGGCACAAGGTATATGAGGACAGAAATGAAACAGCTCCTGCCTTCAAGGAACTTACATTCTACTGGGGGAGAGGCAACCATTAATCAGTCAACAGTCAATCAGTCACTCCACCAGCATTCATTAAGCACTTACTATATGCCAGAAATTATGCTAAGCTCAAGGATACAAAGCTAAAGCAAAAACATCTCCTGCCCTTCAAGAGTTTACATTCTAGTGGAGGAGATGATATATATATATATATATGTATGTATATATATATATGTATATATGTATATATATGTATGTATGTATGTATATATGTATGTGTATATATGTATGTATGTATATATACATACACATATACATATGTACATATGCATAT